GCAGAGCTGCGGCCACCACTGAGCATGACGAGGTCCTGCAAATCTCTGAGAAACTCACCTGACGGCAACTGGTCCTGGGGCCAGCAGTGGCTCTGCTTCTGTCAAGCACAAGACCCTGAAAACTCTGCTCTCTATCAAGGATGGAGGTCTGTTTTGCCACCACACTGCCCGGAAAAAAAATGGATTTTGAATTGCACCTTCTTCCTCTGGTTGCTCACTTCTGAGTCAGTGTGACTGGTGGGATCATACCATGTGCCTGTGGTACACATTGCTCCCACCCATGTGGGAGCATAGGCCATGTGCCTGTGCCCTTGGTGAGGAGAAAGCAAAGGAAGAAAGCTTCATGGGGTCTTCCTGGGGAGGTGAGCCTCCCAGGGCTAGAAGTTCCCCAAAGACAGTAAATGTGTTTCATAGTTGCTGGAAAGCCTAACCACATGAGAGACATCTGCTATACTGTGAAACACCCACTCTTCCCTCCCCCCCAAAAAAAACTAATTTTCTATGGAGAATACTGTTGGATATACTTTTTCTCTCTGTGAGATACACATCAACATTCTTCTTTCTAGCTGCAGGGAAAAGACTCAAGTTGAGTGGAGTTTAATGTAAGAAAGTTCTTCTTAGGGCATCCACTGAATCTTAGAAAATTCTGAGAAGAGGGTGGACCTAAAATGTCCCTGTGAGTAGGACAGAAACAGCCATGGAAATCTGCCAGGAGGAGAGCTGAGGCGGAGGGACCAAGAGAAAGGACACTGCAGTTCTTTCTGTGAGTTTGGTCCCTGTCACCACAGGTGGACAGATAACACTTGCTCCATTATTTCCTGGATACACTGGTGTTTCCCTGCTGTCCTGTTTCTGAACACAGCCACAGACAAATCACTGCATGTAAGAGCAGGATGGAGCAACTGGGAAAGGGCTGAAAAACAGAAACAGACCTTTATGCCAAGTGCAGCTGCTGTGTGCCTCAGGGCCACGCACAGATGGTGACACCGAGGCCAGCGGGTGCACTGTGGGAACAGATAATACAGATGAGAATGATGACGGTGTATGTGTGTGTGTGTATGATCAGACATAACATATCCAGGGACGCCATATATACTATGTCACTTCTTGAAGGTGGGTGGCTACGACCATAGAGTGAATATAAAAGGAGCAACTGGTAGGGATTCCAGCAGTGGGCACCAAGAATGTACCAAGTAAATGTGTCAGCAGATAGCAGAGTTCCGTCAGCCATGGAGATGAGCCCAGAAGACAGGAATTGCAGTTGTGTGGATACACTAACAAAGGCAGGGCAGGGCCCTTATTCTAAAGAGACAAATTTACCAAAGTATATTGTAAAGACTGGGCTTGGGCACAGGAATGCATAACGTAGCCATTAGTAGAGCTCAGGTGTGATGTGGACAGTGTGATGTATTGGAGCTCCTGACCGATAGGGTGAGCATGTAAATTTTAATTACAAACCAGGAATGAGAATCTCATTAATAATTATGCTAGGACAGCAGGTATAAACCAAAAATGTTCCAGGAAAATGGGACACATGATCTTCCCAATTATACATTACCTGGCCCTAAGGAATCCACAGGCTGAATTCAAGCAAACATGACCAATAAAGGTAAAGAATGCAGTGGATGAAAATCAAGAAAACCTGACTTAGGAGAAACTGTATTTTTATTCTTTCCTTTGGCTTTAATATTCAAAGAGATGATGTAAAAACTCAGAGATGCTAGCATATACTTAATTTTCTTTTTCTTTTTCTCTCTTAATTCACTGCTGGAAGCTACCTATGATTATTCTAGCAACAACTGCACAAGGCATGAAAATTTTCATGAAAAGTTGCTCCAGAAGATTGAAGAGCAAGAGGGGCAATGTGCCCGGGCAGTGGGGTGAATGGCAAGATGGAGACTGGTCTCAATGACAAACTCCTCTACCACCCTGCTGGCTCTGGCTCCAGAGGTGGCCAAGCTGATGGTAATACCCACAGGATTTCTGCCCTTGGTACATTAGAAATTTCGCAGACAGAAGAAAGGAAATCAGATGTTTATCACCAGACTGACTATGACGTCACTCAAGAGAACTCTAATTGTTAGTAGACTCACTTTCTAAGAGAATGATCTCTATGGGAAATCTTCCGGATCCCAAATGTAATCAAAGAAGGAATCGGTAGCTGCCTCCAAATGCTGCCATCTTAGCTTCAGGCTGACAGTTTGATCTGGGCCTCTGTTTTGTGAATGCAGTAATACAATCCTCAGTAAGTAAGTAGAGCTTCATCAGATGCTTTAAAAGGACCTTTTGAACAGTGTGACTCTCCAGCAAGTCAATGCTGCAGTATTATTCCTGAGCTTCTAGGTGTTGACTTTGAATACTGACCTGGCACCAGGAAGCCATTTTCACTAGTAAAATATTCAGAGGAGCAATTTCAATGGCAGTGTGTTTGGAAGGAGAAATGCTGAAGGCAAGTACTACCTTTTACAATGAGGCCTTGTACCCTCTTGGTTATACTAAGCGCACTTCAGGCTTGTGAAATTCCCTCCACCTCTCCCTGTAAAAAGCTTCTCACCAAAGTTTACAGGTGCAGGGACTGAGAGGATTATATAAATCCAGAATGTTAGGTCAGTGGGGCCTTAAGTTAATGAACTTCATGCCCCTAGGCAGAATTCAGCTAGGCAATGGTTGAGCAGCAATGTCAGAATGGGCAGAAAGGTGTCCATAAAGTCCTTGGTCCCACAAGTGATTTCAACTCTTGCCACAAATTCATAGGTTTCTTCCTGTCATTTCCATTTTTCTTGCTAGCACTAATTCACCATCCAATGCCCCATATATTTATTTATGTCTTCTTGTTGTTATTGTCATACATGAAGTCAGGATTCTATGTTTTGTAAATATCTCTGTTCCTAGTCCCTGCTATATAACACTAGTTCAGTAATATTTGATAAATAAATATATGATATATTTGTTGAATACTTGTTGAATGAGTCCCCTCCCCATATAAATATAAGTCATTCAATCTATTTTTCCCTTCAGATATAAAGTCATTCAATCTATTTTTCCCTTCAGATATAAAGTAACCAAGTGAGAAAAAGAGTTCTCCAAAATCCACTTCTGGGCTGAAAAGTGACTCCATTTAAAGACAGGAATTGGAAGGAATAGGCAGGAGTTGTGGAGTAAAACTGAGGGTGGGACTAAGAAACAGGAGAATTTTTTTCTTAAAGCCAGACTAACATTCAGAATCAGACTATAAAAAAATGTAGTATTTCTTTAATTTCTGTAACTTAATCACATCTGTGAGTTTTGCTCTACCTGTCTCTCTTTGCAACAATAAATTCTTTAAACAAACAAACCCAAAAGATTTAGTGACATCAGGAAGCAGAAAATGACAGTTGCTATGTCTTAAATAGAAGGATGCACCCTAAGAAACAGAGGAACAAGGAATTTTAACAGGGAAGAAAGGGGAAAAGTTTCCCCGAGACCCCAAGAAGGAAGACAACGAACTAAGAAGTAACAACTTCTGAACTCAAAGCCCTCTTAGAGACAGCACAGAGAGCAGGTAGGGACTGAAATTCTCTATGAAATGGTAGAAACAAAAACAATCCCAACCAGGACAGAAAGTGTCAGCACAGCCCACTTATCCTTCTCCATCATCTCCTCATCCAAGCAGGCTTAATCCTGTCGGTGTTTCCACTTCAGCGTTTTTCTCAAATCAGATTTTCCTTTCAATCCCTAAAGCCATTTGCTGAATTCAAAGGCTTGTCATTTTCCCATAGGAATGCAGTAATTACCATGCTACTGTCTCCACGTTCACCTTCCTGCAACCCATCCTTCCCAGGGTAGATCTGGCCATTCTACTCTCCAGCGTAAAACCAGTCCAAGGCTCCCCCTCAGTCTTAGAATGGTGTCCATTCAAGTTATATTTTCAAACCATTCTCTAGTGTTCACTATGAGGCCTACATGTGAATTCCATATTAGAAACTGTAGAGACAATGCCTATCTTACTGACAGCTAAACCTCAAGCAACTAGGCCAGTGTCTGTGTTCCACAAGTATTTAATACTTGGTCCACAAATAAATGAAAGTGAAAAAACCACGATATAAAACAGTAGCATACAATCCTAATAATGGAAAACACACATATGCATACAGAAAATATCAGAAAAATACAGCAAAACATTTATTTATATTTTATTGATGCATTTTTAACTCTCAAAATTACCGCTAAAATGGGTTTTCTCTGATACTTAGATGCAAAAATACTGTCCACACAAAACCAAAAGGGATTTGGGTAAAAGTCATTTACCTGACAAATCAGACAGCAGCATGGGGTAAAATGGGCGATATAACACCCTCATCACTCACATTGGGCTCTTCATTTCTAGCCTTGACTCTGCTCTACTTCCTGCTACCTCTCGGCCACGCAAGAGGGTGAGCAGTGCCAAGCCACGCTACGGTTTTCACATTTCTACTTGCCGTCTACTCTCTCACTTCACTGTCCTAGTATTCCCAATGCTAGTCTGTGTTCTTGTCATCGTTTCATGTCTAGGGCAAAGCACAGTCCCTGGTACAGAAGAACTTATTATATGTTGATGGGGTAAATTAATTAATGCATGAATAAGGCAGAAATACTGAATATGTAACCCATTTCATTCATTTATTCTATAATGGTGCTTACCTAGTAGGGTTGTTGTCAGGACTAATGAGAAAATGCATGTAAAACATACCTGACACATAAGCACTCCATAAACAAAAACATTTATTAACTATTATCAACAGGATGATGTACAAGATGCTTTGCTCCCTTAGTCACAATCATCTTAAATTGTGGATAATCGTTCTTGCCCTGCCCATCTCACCCACTGGGGTGAGAAAGAGCTTAAAGCAGTTTGGGAACTATAAATCATTAGACAGACATATGTTATTATCATTATGATTATGATGATGGTGATGATGATTACATGCCATTTTCTTTGTGAATCTTGCCTACAATAAGTTTATCATTTAAGGTCATATTACCTTTGCTGATGTTTCAAACCATCCTACGAAACCATGCTCCTTGCAGAACTCGTCCATCTTGAGGCCATTATTCATGAGCATATCCTTCCCCTGGTCACATTTGTTGGCCAGCAAAACGACTGAAACTGGTTTTCCATTAGGGAGACTTAACTTTGAGTCCAAGTCATTTTTCCACTTTGTCACTGCTTCAAATGTAGCTGGCCTGGTGACATCGAAGACAATGAATGCACCCATGGCTTCTCGGTAATAGACCCTTGTCATGTTTCCAAATCTTTCTTGACCTATCACCAAAGGAAAATAGAAATCAAAAACTTACTGCAATTCTAAACCAAATATATTGCAATGTTACAAGGCCTCCAGTATGAGCTGTCCTTCATTGCTTATCTCTAAGGAATGAACTAAATATACAATCATGCAGCTTTGTTCTTGATCTTGGAACCTAGAGGGGAGTCATTCATTTAACAAGTATTTATTGAAACTTCTGGATACCATGTAATGTTCTATAACTGTGCTAATATAGTATCCCACTAGCCACATATGGCTACTTAAGTTTAAATTAAATAAAAATAATTAAAATTTAAAATTCAGTTCCTCAGTCATACTATCTAGTTACATTTTAAGTGTTAAATAACCACATGTGGCTACTGGCTACAATTTTATACAACTCTAGTACAGAACATTTCCGTTATCACAGAACGTTCTGTTGGACAACACTGCTCTCAATACATGGGCTAAAACGATTAAAATGTGAAAATCCCTGCCCTTGTGGAGATTACATTTTGGTGTGGTGATATAATGATAAACATAATAAATAACTAAATAATGTAATAGTTAAAAAAGACATCCACAGTCAAGTCTAATTAAAGGCAGTAGGAATAGCTAGCATTTATTGTTTGTCTGCTAACCATCAGAAGTGTGATTTCCATAAATGATCATGAAGGTACAATTATCCCCATTTTAAAGTGAAGAAATTGAAACTTAGTGAGGCTAAGTAACCTGTTCAATTTGTACAGATTAATAAGCTTTAGAAGTCGGAATTCAAGTGAGTTTTTTCACCTAGAGCCCATAGTCATTTACCAACACTGAATATTCTCAACTTATAAACCATAGTCTTGTATTAGCTCTCCTCCAGGTTTCCCTATCAGGCGTGTCCCGTTCAACTCAATTAAACAGATAACAGATATTTATGTGTCAGTGCCAGCCTCTGGGCCACATGCTGAGACAAGAACAGTGAACTAGTTGACCTCTACCCTTAAGTAGCCTACAATCTATTGTATAAGAAAAGCCCTCTGACAGAGAGAAAGATAGAGAGAAAGAGAGGGAGGGAGGGAGATGGGAGGGAGGGAAGGACAGTCAGGGTGGGAAGAGGGAGAGGGAAGGAGGAAAGGAAATTAAAAACAAACAAACAAATAAATAAATAAGAAAGAGAGAAAGCTGGTCCTTTTTTAGACCAATCAGCTAGAATCATTTTTGCTCTGATTCTTAATTTCCGAAGTGAATATTTGCAAGTTTATTAAACTCTCTAAGTTTAGCCATCCTCATCAGCAAAATGGCCATTATAATATATACTTCAAAAGGCTGTCATAAGAATGAAATGATTTAACATGTGTAAAGCACCCAGCACAGTACCTTATAACAACCTGGTACTTAAGTTTTCTCTCCCTTTCTACAGCATGTTAAAAATTACAAAAGCCAATATGGTATAGGTAGTAAAATCATAGATCCAATCTAGTGTTTATAACAAAAACTTATAGGTATTTCACCTGAATAACAGAAATCAACAAAATCCTATAGCTTGTTACTCTATCCATTAGTAGCTGCTGAAGACAGGGGCTAATTAAAATTGGATTTATTTTTCTGAACCAAAAAGTTCCAGAATTATGTGATAAAACAAAGACCTTTTATTCTTACTTGGGAATTGATGTTCAGAGTCAATAAAGTTACATAATTTTTTTAAAAAGTTAGGTATGTATTCAGTAAGTCAACTTATCTTAGAATAAAATGCTGAAACTGCCATGTATCTAAGAACACACCGGTCAACATACCTCTAACACTTTACATTTAACTCAGAGCTCAAGGTTTTGTGATGTTGAGTTTTAATTCAAGTTACCAAATTTTTTTATAGGTTGTTATGTTCACATTGCCATTAGCACAAACTATAAGAGAAAATAATCCATAAGCCACAGCACATGGATGAAGGTCAATGGTTCCCATCCTCATAGGTAAGCCTGCATGTTCAGGTATGACTGGAAAGAGCATTTTTGTCAGAGCCAGCTCATGATGATCCTAAAACATTTCTTACATGAGTTATACCACAGAAGCATTTTTTTAATTTATTTTCAGTCATCCAGTCAATGAAAGTTATAATAGTCTTCATATGACACATAACCCACAAGTAAACTTTCCTTTTTCCCAAATGAGTTTTAAATTTTTTCTTTCTTCTTTTCTTCCTTTCCCTCCCTCCTTCCTTCCTTCTTTCCTTCCTTCCTTTCTCTCTTCCTTCCTTCCTTCCTTTCTTTTTTCTTTCTTTTTAGTTTCTGATACAAAACAGTGATCTCCATTGATACCATTCAGGGTGGCCATGACATTTCAGGAACATGGGGAAAAAGCCACCCTCTGTGATCATTCAGGACTCTGAAGGCCTCTAGGCTTTGTAAGGATGTCTTATGATTCCTTTCAGGGAACTAATCAGATGAAGAGCAAAGTCATGGGTTGTTTAATAGTCTACTTGTCCAGAGGTTTTCACAGCAGAGTAAGGCGGCCTTCAAAAAGAAAATACTTTTCAAATATGGAGCACAGGGTCATTTTCAAGACTACATAAAAAAAAAAAAAAAACAATATATAGACATTGAACACATTCATAGGAATTCAAAGAGAAAATGTGTATGTATGTTTGATTTTGTGAAAGTATGCCTGTCAGATGAGAAAGAAGGAGAATAAAAGTGTGTTTCTAGAAAGAAAAGACCTTTGTTTGTTGAGGTCAGTGGGCCAACAGACTTGGAAAGTTTGTATTTTTGGTGTTCCAGCAAGAGGTCACATTCAGACCAGGACATGTCTAGCACTCACATTTTATCCCTCCATCCTGTCAGCTGACAGCCCTATCTGCTGTTTCTTATTAAAATAATGAGAACCATGTGATTTTTAGGGAGTGCCTACCTATGGGCAAAATAGAGACCTGATGTACTTATCATAGGCTATTTATTATTTTAAAAAAAGGAAGTAAACCACAGTTCAAAAATCACCTGTGAGGCTAGATCACTCATTTAACACACATTTATTGAACAGTGATATTGTCCAGGCTTTGTATTTTGTGTTGCAAATACACAGTCTTTTGTCCTCGAGAAACTTCTAAGCTGAGAAGTGTCATACTGGATGCATGCACTGGAAATGATCCCGTGTAGGTGCCTGATTCTCTTAGTCTCTAAACACATAGCCCTATGGATTGATTCATGATTCAGCTTCCAGCTTTGAGGGGTAGTAAGTGGCAATCAACTGAATCACAAAAAAAATGCAATGGCTGCAGACGCAATTTGGATAACCACACTGCAGAAGGTACAAACTTGCCCTGACTAGCATGACTCAGTTGGTTGAGGGTCATCCTGCAAAGCAAAGGGTCACCTGTTCCATTCCCTGTCAGGGCACATGCCTGGGTGGCAGGCCCAGTCCCCAGCTGGGATATGTACGGGAGACAACCGATCAGTGTTTCTCTCCCTCTCTTTCTCTCTCCCTTCCCCTCTCTCTAAAAATAAATAAATAAAATCTTTAAAAAAAAACAATGATGGGTCAGAAAACATGGGTCTTAATTTTAATCACTGATGAGCCTTCGACAAAAGCATTTCTCTCCCTGAGACTCAGTTTTCTCATCTGTAAAATAAAGTTGTTCTGATCTATCTCTAAGGTTCCTTTCTGCTTTTATGCCTTCTAGCCTTATGATATCACAATTAAATCCACACTTGGTCCTCTGTCTCAACTGCCTGGAATTGATCCACTTGGTGTCATGGACTTGGCTAAAAATATACACAAGCAACACAGCCAGAATGTGTATTTAATGAGATTTTCACTTGGTATTTAGTATTATATAGATGCTCTCAGTGTATATAACCAAGCAGTGAATCTTCTCAATGGGCATAAACACAGCAAGAGGAAATATGTCCAGGGTTCTATTAACCAATTAGCTTTGTAACCTCAGATTAGTCACTTTACCATTCTAAGCCTCAGTTTCCTCATTGGGGAAATAGGAAAACTGGATTGGATACCCTAACTAAATTCGTCATTGCTTCTGTTAACCTCCTCTAATCAACCTTCCCAATACACAGACAACCATAACTCCACCTCTTATTCCTCCTGTGTTCCCCACCCTGGCTCACAACATCACCATACACACTGCCACCCAGAGTGGTACCTTCAAGTCTTCAGACTGCTTCCTCACCCCCATACTCAACGGGTCTTCACCATCCTACCAACATTCCTATTTCAGAAGTGGCTCTTGATCTGTCCCTCCTCTCCATCCGCATTGCCAAAGCTCCACTCAGGTCCTCACTGCTTCTCCTCTGGACCCAGACAGCTCCCTAACGGGGGTTCTCAGCATCTCAGTTCTCTCCACTTCCACTCTCCCTTAGTATAACATAAATACTAACACAGGCTGAGGACAGTTGCCATGCTGGCAGCAGAGATTACCTGATGGTATATCTCCAAAAGAAATGAAATCACTACCTTGAAGAGATATCTGCACACCCATGTTCACTGCAACATTACGGACAACAGCAAAGACATGGAAACAACCTAAGTGTCCATCAACAGCTGAATGAATAAAGAAAATGTGGTGTGTACACATACACACACACACACAGAGGAATATCACTCAGCCATAAAAAAAGAAAATCTTGCCTTTTGTGACACCATGGGCAAAGGCTATGAGAGCATTATGCTAGGTAAAAAGAAAAAAAAAAAAATTTTTTTCTCTCTTTCCCAAAAAAAAAAAAAAAAAAAAAAAAAAAAAAAAAAAAAAAAGGGATCAGTTTTGCAATATATAAGTATATTAAACCATCACATTGTAGACCCTAAATTTACACAATAGTATTTGTCATTATATGTCAGTAAAGCTGGGGGCTGGGGCGGGGTGGGGGCATCATCTGAGGTATTTGATATGCTCCTCAAAGAATTTTATTGTGTTGACTTTGTATGGGGCCCAGAAATCTGTTTTGTTTTGTTTTTTTAAGCACTCCATAGGTAAAGCCTTAGAACTCTTTCTATCAGGCTCTACTTTTTAAATGTAAATATT